ATAATTTACAAAATATCCTTCCAATTTCTATATTAGAAATTGTTGATATTTAACTTAAATCTTTAAGAATTAACCCATCAATTTATACTCAATGTAATGCATTGAATCTTCCAAAAGATCAGTTAAATACGATTTCAATTATTCGTAATATTTTAGGACCAAGAACACAAAAAAATAAATATTCTTATTTTTTTATTACTGGTTCAGCTGGAACAGGAAAATCATTTATAATTAATTTAATTATAAAAGATTTACAAAAAAAGAAATCAAGTTACTTATTATTAACTCCAACTGGAGTAGCAGCTTAGAATATTGGAGGAGAAACCATACATTCTGCATTAAGAATTCATAAAACTCTTGGCAAATTTCAATCCTTGGCTTTTCATGATATTAAATTTTTTAAAACTTTAAAAAAAATCGATACTTTAATATTTGATGAAATTTCAATGGTTTCTGCAAAACTTTTTAGTTTCATTTCTGATATGTTTTCGATTATTCAGCAACAAACAATAGCATTTGGTGGAAAAAATATAATTGTTGTAGGTGATTTAGCACAATTACCTCCAGTTTATGGATTACCAATATATAAATGTTCAGAATGGAAATTATTTTATCCTTTATTTCTAAGACAACCACAAAGACAAATTCAAGATTTGCAATACTATAATGCATTACAAGAAATTAGATTAAACGAAATGTCTTAACTACATGGAACTTTTTATATCAAAAAGCTAGAAGATTTGATCACCAACAACTGCTTGATGTTACACTTAATACTACAAGTATCGTTGAATATAAACAAACTGCTAATCGAATTAATCGTCTTATTTGTAATATGCTTTCAGTGAACGAAAACAAATTTTTGATTAGCACAGCCATTGATTTCATTAATATGCAACAATATGATTCTGATGATTCCCAAAAATTATTTAAAAAGAAGACTAATCTACCAAGTCATTTACGTTTACAACAAGGTGCACATGTAATGTATCTTAAAAATGATTTAATTCAACAAAATATTTGTAATGGGACTATTAGAATTGTAATCGATATTGATTTGAAAGCTTTAGAAGTAAGGATAGCATTTAGTGTAATGGGTGGAATTGTTGATATTGGAATAAAAAGAGAAACTATATCATTTATGATTGATGGAAAACCATTAAGCAGATGCCAATTTCCATTACAAAATGCTTTTGCACTTACAGTGCATAAAACACAAGGATTAACTTTACCAGAAGTATCTTTATGCCTTGATAATCAAATATTTTCTGCTGGACAAGCTTATGTAGCATTGAGTTGATGTTCAGATTGGTCTAAAGTGCACATCGTTTTTTCTACATCTTTCAGCTTTCATTACAGACAATTTGATGATTGAAGAATATAAACGTTTAGAATTAAAGGCCGCTCGCTATAGCTTTGCCTCTATAAATATGCTAATTTTAAAATATTTCAATATTTATTTATATAGATTATAAGGCCGGACAAAGAAAAAATTTAGATTCTCGTGACATAAAATTTTAAATTTGACCCGGCCGCCCGGTTTTTTTTTTATATACATAAAATTTTTTATATGTATCTTGTATTATATTTTATATCATATTTTATATCACTCATATGTATTTTGTAGTATATAAATAAATAATAAATCACCAAATCGGTCTTATCGATCTGCAAATCTCTTTTTTTTTTAAAAAAAGAAATGCCGATAATAATTGTACATGTTGTGTTTAATTATAAAACAATTTTTGAGTGGGAAGGACTTCCTGTTAATAAGGATATGGATATAGAAGAGTTTTTTAAAAATGTAGTAGTTTATAAATTAAAGCCAGAACTATGGGAAAAAAATTGGGTAGCATATTTTAGTCATACAAAAATGGGTGAAACAGAAAAAATTGGATTGAATTGTAATGTATGGGAGACTATTAATTAATGCGGAAAATATGTGACATTTAAATTACTTAATGACTCTAATGATATACCAGCTATGAATACAGTCAATGCATTTGAATTAATGAGATCTGCATCAATGTTTAATTATCTTTCAGAGTTTAAATTACCAGCAAAAAATTCTTGGGAGCAATTACGAATAGATTTAACTGAATTGATTAGAAGTAATGGAGGGGGTTGGATAGGAAAAGATAATGCAAATAATATTGGAAAAAAATTTGTTAATGATTTGACAAAGTCTATTTGGTATGTTGATATTTGTTCCTATAAAATATTCAATGATAGATTTAAAATTCCAGCTTTATTTTCTAATTTTTTTGATCGAGCACATCCTGAAAAATACAAAAATTCAAGAAAATCATTTAATTCAGAAGAATTACAACATCATTATAAGGTTTTGATAAATTACATTGAATTATCATGGATGGGAAAACCAAAATTTGCTTGGCTAAAAGAACCTTTATTACTTTATGCAAATAATCTTATAAAATATGCTGAATATTTAATTAATCAAAGAGTTATAACTGCAAAAAATCAAAGTTCATTAATACCTGTAGTTAATGAAGGGAAAACAGGATATATAGAAATTTTTAATGAAAATACATGGCGAAAACCTGAAATAGTTAAAGAATTTCACATTCTTACAAAGACTTTACAAGAATTAGAATATTGGAAGCCTATTAATATTAACCAATTCTGTCCAGAATCACGAAAGTAAGAGATTTATATTTTAATATATATATTGCTAAACTTTTAATAAACTAATAAATAATAAATAAATTCTTATTTTCAATTAGGCAAAGATCTAGATTTATTGAAAAATTAATGGTAGCATTTCCATTTAAAATTGGAAAATATACATATCATCATGGAAATATACAAAATTCAGTTTATGTTTGACGTATTGATGTTAATATTAGTGAACAAGAAATGATTAACAAACATTATACAATTAGGAATAATTTGAAACAAACACTTCAAGTTTATCATACAAGAGCAATAAGAAAAGAATTTTTAGATACAGTTGAGCTTTATATTGGTAAAGTAGAAAAAGCAAGAATGCGTTATATTTATACTGTTTGGCTAAAAGATTCAGCAGCTTCAATTAATTTAGAAACTCAAGATATAGATGATCGTGTAGAAATAATGTTTGAATTAGGAGATCCTGATTTAATTACTAATTTTCGTAAAATCAATGAGGGTATATTACCTAAGTATGATGTATTTTGGGAATATTCATCCAAATATTTAGAAGGAATAGCTCAAGAATCTGTTTTAGCTGTTGATGAAAGAAGGCACAATACATTTCAACATCTTGCAGTTGCAATTTTAACTCGAGATTTTCGTGATCAAGTACTTAAAATTTGTCTTTCAAACATACCAATTCCATCTATATAATGGATTAGATTACAATTCTGGCCAAAAAATCCTACGCGAAAAAATAGTTTACAATTTACTGGTAGACTTCCTGTTAAATTTATGGTATAAGCAAAGCAATTACGTTGTGATCATGAAGATTTACATTATGCTAGTGCTTTATTTCGTTATCAAAAGGAAATGGCAATACTTTTACAAGTGAATTCATGGTTAATTTTTATGGATGATAAACATAGGTGTAAAGTTGGTGAATCAGGATATCCAGTTGCAGCTGTTGAAAGAGGACGTCAAGTTATAGTATCAAAAAATAAGGTTTTTAAAGTTGCAGATCATGACTTTACAAAGTGTCGTATAATTCCAAGTGTAACAATGTTATATGATATTCCTGCTATAATTGATGAGTCATTTTATCGCGAACAAGTATATATTGGTTTAAAAAATCCTATATTTCAACTATCAGATTCATTACGTCATATGACAGAATTATATAAGATATTAAATAATACAAATGAAAATAAGCCTTATTTATTTCTTTATACTGATGGAGGACCTGATCATCGAGTTACTTATGTTCACGTTCAATTAGCATTAATAGCATTGTTTTTGAAACTAGATTTAGATTTGTTAATTGCTATTAGAACTCCACCAGGTCATTCTTGGAAGAATCCAGTTGAGCGAATAATGTCAATACTAAATCTTGGTATGCAAAGTATTGGTCTAATGCGTGATAAAATGAGTGATGATTTAGAAAATCTAATGAAAAATGCAATTCTATGGAGGAAATTCGCACACACTCAAATAATAAACCTCAATTGAAAAATGAATTAATAAATAGTTTATAAACACCAATTAACTTAATGGAAGGTATTTTTGAACGATTATTACTAAAGGATGAACCATTTCTAACTTATAAGTCAGCAACAGAAGAAGAAATTAAAAATTTATGGAAATGTTTATTAGGAATTGAAGATTCATTAGATATGTATGACAGAACAAAGAAAGATATTAAAGATAAAGTAAATATATTTTATTTAATATTTATTCTATTAATAAATAATTACTAAAATTATAATTAATTTAATTTAGGTTAAATTACAAGAATTTTACAATCACTGCTGCAAATCATGTCATTATTTTTTTCAAATTAAAAAATGTGGAGTAATGGCTTGTAATATTTGCAAGCCAATAAGAAGTGATGAACTTGATTTTTTCCAAGTTCATTCTTTACCTGATCCAGTTCCTATAGCTGATAAAACTAATTACAAACAATTTTTGGATGTGTATGGTACAATTACAACAGAGCAGCATAGACCATCTTTAATAAATCAAGAACAAAAAAGAAAAAGAGTTCATATAGAATTTGGTCTTACTGCTCAATTTGTAAGAAATGTTGGAACAGTAATTGAATGTTGTGAATGTAACAAATGGTTTGTATTGTATAGTAAAAGTAAGATATCTTCCTTTGAATTATCAATTTTGGAAAGGTATTTGGATACTATTCAATATATATGTGGTGATTCTTTTGAAGCTTTAGCAAAAGAAATGGAAAATGTTGGGCAAAATGAATCCAATATTAATGATAATGAGAATAATGAAAATGATGATGTAGGAGAAATTTTTAAAAAAGTAAAAGTTGATGATGGGTTATTATGTAGTAAT